TTCAATAAGCAGTTATCCAAATTAAGCCTATAGTTTTTATGGCAAAGCACAATTCTTACATAAAGATCTATTCCTTTAACGGTAGAGGGTATCGTGATTGCTGCTTTTGGTTTTTGTAGTATTAGTATACTATAGTGCCTGAAGTAAGCTGTAGACCACTGGCTATAGGGTTGAAAGTAATCTCAAAAGAATACAGAAACATTGATTTACAGTTTAAATGGTTATTTTGCTTCATTTCTTTCCTAAGTGCTCAACAATGAAAGGTCAAACAGAGTCAAATAAGTGAACCAACAAAATACCAGCACTAAACAATTTCTGCTGATTTCTCTGGGTTTCTCAGTATGATCCTCAGCTGCTCATCTCCAAATGCTCATGACAACAGAACACAGAGATTATAAAATATCTGCATTTCTGAATCAGATTCTCTGGATCTGTTCTAACACTTATTTTTGTTAGTCTTGTGTGGAGTGAATCTCCAATACTTTGCCATGATTTGGCACATGTCTGAACTTCCAATTGTGTATCCACCCTAGCAACACACTCACCAGTGATACACCATTTTCAGACTGTTCTTAATCTATTATCAGTCTACACCACTACTGCTTGCTTCCTATCTTTTCCAGAAGTTTTCTTGCCACAAACCTTTAAGAAAGTACAGGGGTCATTTGGATCCTTTCCACAAAAATAGGCATAGAATTTCTGCTTTTCTCCCAGAAGTTCTGGAATGCTTTTGTCTTTCTTTACAGAATGTCTGCCTGGATCTCAAACTTCTCATAATTCCACCTGTCTACTCCTGGAATTGATTTTCTTCCAATAATCATCTTAAACAATCCTTATTCTTTTAGTGAAACTATCTTAGCCAAATTCCAAATTCTTTACAAACAGCTGCAGTGGTCATTTCACTTAAAAATTATTAATTGAAGTCAAAACCCTCTTTAGATTATAAAAAATGATAAAAAAAATTAATCCACAAAATTTCATTCCTTTCTAATTTTTTTCCTAGTTTCTTCACTATTACAGTACAAGTAGATCATGATTTGAAGCTCTTCCTTGATGTCAGACATTTATTTTGCAGATGGAAGTTTTGGAGATTTTCACATAATCACATACCTCTAAAAGCAGCTTTCAGAAATGAATATACACATTTTATGTATAAATTTTAAAATCAGTTTTCTTACTACTGCCCCTCTCCTTGTTACACCTAAAAGATTAGCTGTCATTCCATATTCTCTTATCTCAAACATTATTATTTCTTTCATTATTTACTTTCTATCATCTCATATTAGCATTGACTAGTGTCAAAATGTAAGGAAATGCTAGATACTTTAAAAATCCTAGATTTTTAAGCTTACTTTTTTTTTTTTTTAAACAAAACCTCTATTTGGCAGCCATATTTAGAAGACTGAAATACATTGGACAGAATTTAAGACAAAAAATAATATTTTGGGGGATCACAGTTGAGACTTAATAGTCTGTTTCCACTGGCAAATCTATCTATGTAACTTAACAAAAATTAAATCTGAAAAACACTTCTGATACTAGCACCTCCTATACTAGGTTTAGTTGAGAGCACGTTAGTTTCTCCAGTTGTAGCACTCCTTTCTATGGGTTCTTAACTTTCTTCACAGTTTACCGTTTTCAGAATGAGCACTTGTGAACTGTAATGGTCCCAAAGCAGTCATTATAACCATTAGAGGCATAAGCACTGTTAAACACTCCACACAAGTATTTACAGAATAGAACTAAGACGACTTTAAAATTGACATTATAGTCTATGTGGTAAATAAGAAAACTCCTGAAAATTAAGGTCTCTCTACTACTGCAGAGTTGCTTGGTTCACAAAACTAAAATATTTTCCTTTTTTAGTTTAATATTCTAATAACTGTCCTGCTACCCTCGCCAAACACTGAAAGGGAACAGTGGGGAAGTTGGAAAGATGCTGTGCTGCAGAGAATCGTACATAATCTGCCTTCTATGTGGCTTCAGGGATACGGATTGTTTCATTGCTGCTTATTGTGATCAAACTGATAATCTAATATTCCAGGCTTAAGAAATTAGGCTGTCTTCCTGGAAACACAAGTAACAAGTTCAGCTAGATCCATTCACAGATTATAGGAAATTATTTCCACATCACATTTACATTTTCGTGTATGACTATGACATTTATACACAGGCATAATGACAGAATATTCAACATGAGCAAAATCAAATATTATTATCATTGGCAAGAAATGGTAAGTGTGAGCTAGCGCAGAATTGAAAACACCTTCTCAAGATCTCCTACAAGGGAATATTCCTTGCCAAGAAAAGTGTCATAGGCCGGAATACAGTTCAAAACTTTAGTTTAATTATTGCAACAAAAACAGTTACTTTGGTTTATTCTGCTTTATCATAGGAGACAAAAAAATACACATTTGGATATTTTATCCTTCTACTGTGACAGTTAATAAAACAGAAAGCTTTAGTATGATATTTGTGTTACAAACCCACATCCAGAAATTCTGTAACTACCCAATAAAATAACCATCTAAAAATGTTTGAATAAGCAGCTTTTGGAAAAGGACTACACCTCTTTGTTCAAAACTAGCTTCAGAAATCTTTAAATGGCTAAGTAGCCAAAGTCTGTCCTTTAGTGCAATCACAGCTACAGACAGTGGACATTTGCTATAAAGAGTAGGTATAGGAAGGCAAAATATGACACTGTAAGAACTGATTTTAAATTACCTTAATTTTTACTCCAAAAAAAGTATGCTCAGGGAGGCATAATCTTTCTGACGCTTCACAGTGCCTCGAATAACTGATTTAGCCTTAAGAACTATCACAAATTAGTGTGTAATAGCATGTAACAAGCATATTAATACATAATATTGTAACATGTAATAAGTATGCTATTACGTATTATTTTAACATGTAATAATAATAATTATATAAATGGACTTATAGAATACACATCATGATGATGGGATTAAAATTTAGAAATGCTGAAAAGAGTTTCTGCAATCCTAACTTGGCCAATGTTTTCTCATTTTCTACATGAAGAGACAATACATCTTTATAATTTATAATAAAAAAGTAATTGACTTCAAAATAGTATGGAAGCTAGTTTCAAAAGTATAGGTCTCTCATGTCTTTAGCAAGTTAATTTTGATCAGCCCCTTGATCAAGGCAGAGGCATGACTGCTTGAGTATTAGCATTTTTGACTGGATAAGGATCATGCTGTACAGTAAATGCAACGTTGATGCCTTACTACATTGTGAAGTGAAACATATAGCTCAAATATACGAGCAATTAAAATGTACACTTTTAAATAGCTGTTTAAAGATTCTGAGTTTAATTAAAAAAATATTTTGTCTCATTTTGACTGTCTGTATCATACAACTTGGACAAGTCAATGTATTTTTCCAGTCTGTAACAGCAAATATGATGAGCTATTTAGAGAACGTTCTTTCTAAATACCTGGTCCCAATGCATACTGCAACATAAGCATCAAGGTCACCTATTTCATGACACAGTAAAAGAGGCAGGTAGCAGATCAACCATCCTTATTAAAATATTGCCTACCATACAATGATTTTTATCTTAGTCTGGCAAAAATTAAGTAATATAAGGTAAAATTCAGTCAAGCTACTTTCAAAATAGCTTTTTTGAAAGGATAGTTATTTTGAAAATCTTAACAGTTGTATACAACTTATTGCCATTTATTACTATGCTGCACAAATTGCTCATATAGTGCAAAATATAATTCAGTTGAAAAATATAATGAGGTGATTAAGAGCATGTCTTTGAATTTTGATATCATAGAAATAAGAAGAATATGCTTTAGTCTAAGTGACTCTGCAGTTATGTAATAGTTCATGCACTTAGCATACTAACTGGTCTAATAGTCTTTTTTCATTATCTGCTATAGCCATACACATTGCTATTAGAAGAAAGCCAGCAGCTGTGAGAATACGCCTCTAGATCTATATGACTCAAAAAGGGGTCAAATAAGCAGTGAGTAGATGAAATTAAAATCAATAAAATCAAAAGACCCCAGTGGAGAGGAATTAATTTGACTCCTTTTGTAACTTTCATTTGATAGTTCAAGCAGCATTTCAGGTCAATTATATTAATAGAAACTGGCAGACTAAAAAGATGTTAATGATGATCCAGAGCTAATTAGCATAGCTATTTTCACTCCATCTTCTACAAAGAATCAGACTCTTTTTTTGATCAGTGATGGAAATTGGCAGAGGACAAAAGTATGCATGCAACAGTTTAGCAGCTTTTAGTGACAAGCCAATATTCTATGATGAAAACCAAAAATAAAACCAGAAATATAAAATAATTTATTAAATAAGATTTAAAAGGGAAAACTGTCACAAAACTAGAATGATATGGTCATTGCCAAATATTAGTTGTTATTTCTTTAATAGAAAACTATTCTACTTCATTCCTCTCGCATTTTTCACATCAGTAAAGGTTTCTGCAGACCTCTACATCTCTCCAGCACGCAGATGGTAAAAGTCATAGAAAGTGGAGAAATATTTTAATAAGAAATAAATACGAGAATAGCTCACTAAATAATACAGGATCCAGTATATTGGAACCTACAAAAATTAATCTAAGCCTTTTAAATTGATAGTTCTTCACAGGTAGATCACAATTCAAACTCCTAAATGTCATCAGGAAGAAGTAGTTTGGCTGTCAGTCACTCTCACATGCTACTGAAGCTATTCGAAGTTCAGTTTCTTCTCATGGTTTATGATGTAAGAAACTTTTTATCTGTTTCAAACCCATAGTTGCTCAAATCTGGATACTCAGACACAAGAAATATGATTTGGAAGCACAGCTATTCCCAGTCATGAATCTGAACACAAACAGGTAAAAATTTTGAAATGTGCAACTGAATCACTTCAAATAAAACAACTCCTGATCCATGTTTTAATAAGGCTTATGGCAACTGTTGAATCTGTTCACCTTGCCTACAAGTCTGTCTATTGCAAGGGGTATACATTACCGTGTAATTAGGCAGCAGTCATGAATGATGCTGTCCTCCACAAATATGCCACTCTCTTCATCTGTTTCGATCAGGCGACCAGCATGGTACCAATGTACTTGGGTGGTATTGTCAACATATGTTGCAGTACACTGAAATGGTAAGCGGTCTCCATGAAAAACCACTTGTCTTTGTGATGGGATCAGCTCAAACAGAGGTAGTTCCAGAGGCCCAGCTGCAGGGAAAACAAAACAAAAATAAGGAAAAAAAGTCACAATGAATTCCTATGAATACTGTAAGTGAACTAATGGTATATAATTCTAGCTTCCTAGATCTTCACGTTAAACCACTAATATAAAAGATATGTCCACAAACTACCCACTTAAGTTTGATCATGTTGTCAGTTCTAAAAATCACATTTCTTTCATTGGTGTAAGCCCAGTTAATTACAGGATTACTAGAATATCTACAGAAAATGGGTTTCACAGAATAGTTTACAGAATGGTTGAGGTTGGAAGGGATCTTTTGGGATGCTCCAGAACAGACTCCTTCTCAATGCAGGATGCTTTACTACAGAGGTATACAGAAAAAACAAACAAACAAAACCCAACAGTCTTTGAATTAAAAACAAAACAAAAACCAGCTATTAATATAGGTACAGTTAACATTTGTAAGACCACTTCACTGTCAGTGGATGAAATTCCCACTGCGCTCCAGAATGACATGTATTCACTCCAGAGAGCCTAAACTGCTCATATGCCTGGAATTTAGATACTAGTAAGGCTAATAACAAACTTTCCCCTGAAGTTCAACTGTCCCTATGATTTGTCATTTCCCTGTTCCTTCTGCATCTTCCACAAGTCATCTTTATTCTCTAGATGTTTACCCAACATTAAATATTTATCTAAATAGTTCTTTTTGCCTTTTAGTAGTGCAGTACACTTTGCCATCTTTTTTCAATGAATTTTATCTCACCTGTCTTTCCCCAAGAAATAGCCCAATAATGAGAATATTGCATAATCTAAGCAGAATATTACAAAAAACAGCTGCCATAATCACAAACACAAATACCTAAACACATTTAGAAAATAAATAGCACTGTAAATTTGGAGGGCATATGCATTTTTGGCCCTGCTGAAAGTCTGCTAATTTCATAGATTTGACAGTGATTGAAGGCTATATCCTTCAATCCTACAGTCTCTGTAGAGACTGAATCTCTAGACAGCACTTGTTTTCTTCCATTTCTAGATCCCGAAACTACCTTAACAGAACTTCCGTAAAATATTTTCTATACCTTATGAGATTAATGCTATTTCTTTAAATCTGTAGCAGAACATTGAAAAGAAGCATTTTAGGAAAAGTAATTGAAACAGAGGCTCTGCATCTAAAGAAAGAAGATCATCTTCTATGCGATAATAAGGAATAAAGGAAAACCTTATTTTCTTTTTTTCCTGACAGTCTTCTTAGGCAGGAGAAGAAATTTACTACCCCTGATACTTTGTCATCATTGCACAAAATTCTAATGGTAATAAAAATACTAAAGACTCACATATGTGATTGATAAACACACTACCATGAACATCCTGCATAACAGTTCCTAAAATACAAGCTTTTCACCTCAGCCTACAGTGCCAAAACAATTGACTCAGCCTGAGTCATTTTATAACCACTGCTGCAATCTCATCTGAGACAAAATGTCTACAGTCTTGCACCTTGGAAATGCTTCTACACTTTCTTGATGAGGAAAGAGAATCTTTAAGCTAGATATTCCTCTTCCCTATTTTCCTTCTGGTTTCATTTAAAGCCCTCTCATCACTAATATCTACCCAGGTTACAGGGTTGTCAGCTGAAAGGCCACCCTTCCACATTTGCATCACTAGTAACTATCCCAAAAATCTATTTTTCTGGCAAGTACTTTGACTTTTTATTTTTTCCATTTCACTGCTCACCATTTTAACTTCTTTAAACTTTCTCCTCAGAATCCTCCATTGCCTGTAATAAATACAGATTAACTTAACCATGCCTAACCAGATTGCAAGCCATAATCACAGGTTCTACAATTGCTAAAACTTTTGGACAACCAATAGCATTTGCTCCTCTCCTTACTCAGCATGCCACCTTAACATGCTCCTTTATGTCATTCAAATGTTGTCTGTGGAACACTTAAATTGTGAGAGGCTGCATTTATAAACCTAGCTTTGGGCCCTCAATACTATTGGGGAATTTAAATGTTAAATAGTATGTTCATCTCCTGCTTTGCATAAACAGTGAGAGGGCTCACTTCCACGTTTTTACAGAGTAAGAATGCCGGCCAGCATAATACACAGGATTTGTACACGAGTGAATATGTGATATTGCTGGCCGGGAGAAGCACACAGAGGATTAAGGGGCTAGCTACTATTTACTGAAATGTTGTAAGTCTGCTGAGACTATAAAGGGCAGGCTTCAGAAATCCCTCCTTACTCATGTATACAACCTCTAGTTTATCTACATCCTGCATTCAGCTCTGTGGCCCCCAACACAAGGACACAGACCTGTTGGAGTGAATCCAGAGGAGGGCCACAAAGATGATCAGGGGGCTGGAGAACCTCTCCTACGAAGACAGGGTGAGAGAGTTGGGGTTCTTCAGCCTGGAGAAGAGAAGGCTCCAGGGAGACATTTTAGCAGCCTTCCAGTACTTAAACGGGGCCTACAGGAAACATGGAGAGGGACTCTTTATCAGGGAGTGTAGTGAAATGACAAGAGGTAGTGGCTTTAAACTGAAAGAGGGTAGATTTAGATTAGATATTAAGAAGAAATTTTTCACTGTGAGGGAGGTGAGACACTGGAATAGGTTGCCTAAGGAAGGTGTGGATGCTCCATCCCTGGAAGTGTTCAAGACCAGGATGGATGGGGCTTTGAGCAACCTGGTCTAGTGGGAAGTGTCCCTGCCATGGTACAGGGGTTGGAACTAGATGATCTTCGAGGTCCCTTCCAACCCAAACTGTTCTATGATATGATATGAAACGATATCCTTCCAACCAGCTGAGCTCTTTGAGAATGTACCTATTTGGGTTGGCCAAATTGACAAATAATGCTGCAAACTTATTTTACAAATGAAAGTAGTAAAATTTCTACAGATTACGACATTTGCAGACCATGAAGGGTACACTTAAGTACTTCTGCAAAACATCTGCTTTTAATCTCCATGATGTCTACAAAAAAAATTATTACCAGAGCTAATCTTCAGTTGTTTTCCAGGGATAATCATGATTTAAATGACTGAGGCTGGTTCTGCAACTATTACTCATGCAAAAGTTCCATTTGACTTCAGTGACACAGCTCACAGATATAAGGATTAATTGCATCAATAAGAGGTTCAGGATTAGGGCCAATACCCTTTATCCTTAATGGCTATAAAACCACTATAGTTCCATCAGCATCAGCTGGAAATACTTATTTTAAATCCATAATCCAACAATCCTTCAAATTCAGAATAAAAATAAAAGTATTTACTAATGCTGTACACACGTTTTCAAGCTTGACTTTGAGAATAAAGCAAGAAGTAAGAAATTCTGAAAGTATTTGGATAATTTTGGCATTAATTTGACAGCACTTGAAATATAACAGCTCTGGCAAGCATATCGCTACACAACAGAAATTTTCTCTTTGATTATGTGATTACTAAAGACCAAATAAATATAGATCATCTCTGATGTTAATATATGCATGTGTGCCTGTGTGCATGGCAGATACAGTTTACTATTGTATCCTGCAAGAGGAGGAAATAACTTAGGGGAATTTTATGTATTTAATTTTTACACACATGAAAAATATTCCAAGATTGTCCTTCCAACACAACTGACTCTGCTGCCCTCCAGTTTGGAGCCAGTACTACCACCTGCAAATAAGAAGTGACTCTCCTTATAGGCATTTAGATCAAAGGCTGCTGGAGTGCTTTACAGTCTTTACCTGTCTTGTCTCTCTAGTCAGCACTAAACCATGATTGCAGCAGAGCACCACAGGAATCACTGATTGCAGCATGAAACTAAAGGTCTAACCTGTCATTACAGTAATTACATCTTTTTCTTTATCTTTCACTTCTCAGCAGAAAAGGGTTTTGTTGACTGAAGGCCAGGTTCTTTATGCGATCCAGTCTTGTTTCAGATTAGCTCTAGACTAGAATACTGAGGATATACGGAGGAGGAATCAGGTTACACAAATACCACTGAATTAGAGTATCATTTAAGACTCCTTCTCACAGAAAGTATACCCCTGCACATTTTATTGCATGCAGCACCCCAGGATGTATACAAAGTTGAAAAAGAAAATAGAAATTAATAACTACTAGTAAAGTAGAAAAACAGCAAGGTGCACTGAAGCTCTCAAAGCATATGCCCTTAATATCTTTATAAAATGATTTCTCTCACCCACACGCACACACATTAAATACTTTCTGTCTTCCTTACAATTCAGTTCATGAGATTCTAAAAATAGTTCCTTTTGTATCTAATTTTGGCCTTCTTTTTTGTTTGCTGTTTTAAAAGATAGAAAGGAGAAGAATGTGAAGGATACACTGTTGTCTCTGAACATATATGGATTACAAATGCTTGTAAAAGACATAACATAAAATGCATTTCTAAGCTGTATTTTAGTTACATTTTAAATACAATACGGTCACATTTAGAATGTATGCACTTCTAATGAATGGATCCTACTGTTTTCTGGGTGAAAGATCAAAAGCAAATCTGTGAGCACAAAACCTGGCCCATGCAATAGATTTGTCTAAACACCAGAGAAAGTTGCCTAGTCATTGGCCAACACAACCAGCACAAGGTGTTGCAGACATGACCAGAGAAAAATGAAAACGTCCTACCCCAGACATGTTTACTGATTTTCTGCTGCATAACCTTAACCTGGGCAGCACAACTCTCTACACCTAAATAGCTACAATAGTGCATAATCCTGGTTACTACACTACCACATTCCACTGTTCAGTTTACCATAAACACAGTTTTCTGCTATAAATTTTCTGGTCCTCATTAACTGGCTTTGTTTGATATTAGCAGCTTTTACACAGTCAGAAATAGGAAAATCCACAGGTTTCTCCAGGTTGCCCACATAGCAATGCAGTATTACAGTGCTGATGTCTTGGGATGCATCATTGATTTCTGCCTCTTGGTAGAAAATTCAGTTTCCTATGATGCACTACAAGCTTTTGGGACAGAAAAAAGCCAGAGGTTGGCATTTTGCTTC